CCGCACCGAGCCCGGCCCCTTCGCCAGGCGCCCGCCAGGCCTTGGCGAGCTGCAGCCGCGGGGCAGAGCTAGGCCGCCGGTGTTTCCCTCTGCCGATGGCGTGCGCCTGTGGCCCCGACTGGAAGGCGGGGTACCTGGAATTGGTGGCGTTTCTCCTCCCGCCTGCGTGAAGGGGACTGCCGGGCGGGATCAGGCCCCGTGGGAAGGGTGGCCTTGGCTCCTTGCATCCAGAGCTGTGAACCTGCTCTCCGCTGATGCTCTGCGGGGAACTGGGCACATGCTAACAGACATTTTGTCCTGTCATTCCCACTCAGGAAGGGAAGGACGTGTTCTTTCGTAATCACTTTGTCCCAAACGTTGTGCGAGGATTTGGGGGCACAGTGGGTCAGTGTTGGGGGTCTGGTGGGCACCAGAGACCAGTTCCCACCCAGCATGCCTTATACTGGGTGCCCAAGGGAGCCATGCTCGAGGTGGTGTGAGTGCCTGATGGAAGAAACCCTTCCCTGCCCTGCTCAGTGCTCACCTCCCTTTCAACCTCATGGAACGATTAGCGTAGACAGGAATTCTATGCACACAACACCTATGATGAGGTCCCCTTTGACCCTTTCTCTTCCCCACTTGGCTTATGTATCTGACTCCCCTCTTCCACCCTTCGAAGTGGCACTTCGTTTCTTTATTTACCTGCCACCCTTCCCCCACTCCACACCCAGGATGATGCGGTGAGGTCTGTTTGAGAAGGCATCTTTTGCAGGTGGCTAGAGGCTGAGCTGACAGGGGAGACATTTGAGGGTCAGGAAGTGTACTTAGGCTGCCAGTGAGGGAGCTGGACCTGTCTCTCACTGGCGCAGAGACTGACTCCCGGAGGGGGGGGGCGGGGCAGCTAACTGTAGTCCTCCCTTTAACCTGTCCTGCTTCATGTTGAAGCCACAGGAATAAATGACATTCGTGAAAGGAAAGTTAGAAAAGCAGTGAGGGTTAAGGACTTGATGACTATCCTAGGCAGCAGTCAGAGTTGGATGGTGAAGGAGAGGGAGGCTGAGGCAAGGCCGGAGACTCTTGGGAAGGTGTAGGAGAAGACCAGTGAGAGTGGGTGCCTGTCTCCCTGACCATCCACAGAGCAGTGTAACCACTAAGCCCCAGCCATGTTGGGCCCTATAAGCTGGAGTCAGCAGCACCCTGTGCTCATGGGGACTGAAGTGTGAATTGGGCCTTAGCTCAGCTGTGGCATGGCACAGTGCCAGACAGTTGGTATCATTGTAGAGGTGGACATGAGCAATAAGTGAACCCTGTACACTGGGCTTTTCCACAGGAGTGTTCATTGCCCATCCAAATCCTCTCAAGAGGTTAGCATATGTTAATAGGTGTACATAAACTGTAAAGGCCCAGGCTTACTGCCTCAGACTCTGGGAGTGAGGTCCAGCCTGTGGTCTAACATGTTCCTCTTCTAGTCTTTTGAATGGACAGATTTCTAGAAAGGTTGCCTGTTTCCCTGCTGTCCTGTTCTTTGTCTTGTGGTTTGTGCAGGCTGAGCCACTGCGGTTGCTGTCC